TATGAAATGTGATAGTTTTCCATACAAGAACTTGATTTCGATCGTTAAGTTTGTATGGCAGCTATATGTTATAATGGTTCGATATCAGCAGTTCCGACAAATAAGCAGCATCTTGAAAAGAAAATGATGTTTGCAAAATTTTAAAAGGATATCTTAAAAATTGAGGGACTAGTTCGTATATATACAGACAGGCAAGCAGACACACAGACGGACATGGCTAAATCGCCTCGCCTCAACATACTGATCATTTATATATATACTTTATAGGATCTCCGATCCTTCTTGGGTGTTACAAACTTCGTGACAAACTTAGTATACCTTGTTCAGGGTATAATAACACTACAATCAGGCGATATTTGTAATAAACAGGATCACACTTGGTCAAAACTCACTTATGACATTTAAGTACAAACTTATTATACATACAATGGAATACACGTGAATACTATATACTACAGAATGATCGTCTTGTCTTAACGACCTTTAATTTATACTCATCCATCTATACAAAGCAATTACCGCGGCTCTTAAATGTATGAACACTGATTCCATTTTAACATAAAGGTTAAGCATACACAGCTGTAATGAATTTTATTCACACACACTTATCTTTTTCAATTAATCAAAATGCCTAGCGCCCCAGCCGTAAAATAGTGTTCGTGCGTCCTGTAGCATTTTCAATTTTCTCAATAGATCCCACTAGCTCTCCAATCATTAGCTGATGGCGTTAATTAAGTTATTCTTAACTTAAGATTATAGCAAATACCAAAATGGGCAAACAGGCTGCCAACACGACTTAGCCACATGTGGCAAAAATGCGCTGCACAGAAGAGGTTATACGAGTACAAAAATGTAGATGGGCATATATAATTTTTGCGCGTTTAGATCTGTGTAACACTCGCTTGGTAAACTGTCAATCTATAATTTTTCAACTTAATTAGGATTACGAATACCTCAAAGAGAAAACTGCCATAAATGTAATCAATTCTTCCACTTGTGATGTGTGAATTTATCACAGGCTGATGTGAATTTTTTACTGAAATCCAAAAATGATTTTTATTGTAAAGTGTGCGCGGTACTTCGGAGAAATTCAGTGCGCAATGCTCAGTGTTCTAATATTTTAAATTCGCAACAACAAAATGCTGAGTAATCAACCAACAAAGTAACTAAACCTGGAGCCTAATAATCCTAATAAGGTAAATTTGGTGCTTAATTCTTTGGTTTTGGAAGTAAGTTCACTGAGAAGTAAACAATTGAAGGCGCTAACGCAACAACTATGTGAACATCGAAATTCGTTAATCGAAAGCCAAAAACAATGCTGCTCAATGAGTTGGCTTTGATGATTCGGTTAATCTGAACTCTTCTGCTTCAATTACTGCAATGGAAATTTGAAGTTTGTTTGAAGATTTGTTGGTATTAATTGTGATCACGATGTCGTCATACCCAAGAAATGGATTCACTTGTCTGCCTTTAAGAATTCAGTCACTGAAGAAAAGAAAAAAGAATACCCCTAATTCTCTTGCTCTTGCAAAACCCCTTCACGGTGCAAGAATTGCAGATTTTTTCACCCAATGCACCCGCACAACTACACACACACGCACAAAAATATTTGCAATTTGGTCTGTTAAAAATAAATAATTTTTTTAAGTAAAATCAATAATTAATGTCAATCAGCATTCTCCGCTGGATTTCAGTAGATTTTGTCTACACAGATTTCTCTAAAGCCTTTGATAAAGTTTCACACAATATTCCAATTAAAAAATGATCATCTTTAGGGTTTCACTCGGTCTTCTTGCAGTGGATTAAATCATATCTGCACAATAGACGATGCGTTGTCAGTGTCGATCGAGCGCGTCCAAACGATTTTTCTTAAATTTTCTCTCCGCTCCTTAAAGTTTGTTGATATCTCGTTTATTGCTTTTACATCTTATATTACTGGAAAATCGACAATCCTCTGTTTTTCATTTGTTTTCAATGTAATTAATGGAGGTATTGACTGCCCCTATTTATTAGCGAAAATTAACTTCAATACTCCTCGGCGTTGTCACAGATCTATTTCCCCATTTTTTTATAAAAAGTAAAGTACTAAGTTGCTGAATATGCTCCTCCTGAGCATGCTATACGTGAGTTTAACTCGATTTCCGAGAAAGTTCTTCTTAATTTTTTTCACTCTAGGGTATCCTTTATCCTCAATTCTGTTTTTTAGTTTAAGTTGTCTACTTATGTAATTGTTATTTAATTATCTTAGAATTCTAATATGAATCCTAATTCTTCATTAGCTTGTAAAAATTAATGCTCATAGACTTTTTTGCTCTTTACTCAATGCTTTATAAAAAGTGTTACAGTGGTCGGATTTAGTTCAAATTATTCATTTCGTTCGATAATCTGTTTCCAACTAGACGGCAATTTCAGAATAGCCCCATCGTAGAAGCCCCCCTATTTATTTGCGAAGAGCTACTTTTCGCAAGCCTCTTTTGAGTTCAAGTTTACAACAACAAGGGCGTTGTTTTGGTGGAACACCACGCCCTTCCTGTTGGCCAAGTCTGGATGCTTCTGGTCCATCGCCTGCTTCAAGCGTCATAGTTGTTCGCAGTAGATGGTAGAATTAAGCGTCTGACCATATGGGAGCAGCTTATAGTAGATGATTCCTTTTCAACCCCAAACACACAGAAATACCTTCCTGATCGTCAATACCGGCTTGGCCACTGTTTGAGACGATTCACCGGCCTTCGAACACGACCGCCTCAAAAATGGGTCGAGTTCGTCTCGTTTCAGTAACATATCGCAGGCGTTGATTCGGTCCAGAAAGTTTTTTTGCGTAAAATCATGCGGCACCCAAACAGCAAGTATTTTTGTGTATCTAGCCTTCTACAGATGATTTAATATGGTTTGGTGACTAACTCCCATTTTCTGGGCGATGTCACGAGATGCCACATGCCGGTCTAACTCGATGTTTTCCATGATTTGATCGGTATTCGTCGTCACAGGTATTCCGCCGACTGGCTTATCAATGGTGTCGTTTTCACCCGCTCTGAATCGTCGAAACCATTCCTCCGCAGTTCGAAGTGATAGAGTACCATCACCCAAAACACCATTCATCTCACAGAACGTTTCTCTAGCGGATTTTCCTTTAACGAAGGAAAGCTTTAAAATAGCGTGAATTTCGGCGTTAGTGAACTCCACGTTTACATGTCTATAACTGTTGAACGCAACTTCCACACTAAAAATGCATAGCGTCGTTTTGTAAGTAATGTCAAGACCTTTCAAAGATGTATAGTATTGCCAGATACGAGCTCTGTAGCGTTTTATTTATAGCCGCGAAATTCAAAAGACAAAAAGGCGGAGGGGAGATGTTTGACAATATAATAACAAACAAACGATTATTTGACTGTAATCATTTGTGCGGACTAATGTTGAACACACATGCCCACACATACACATAAACATTAATATATGCTGAAGTGCTTGCCCAAGGCAATGAAATTACTACAAAACAATGTCTGTGCTACAAGAGCTTAAGGCTATAAAGAGCACACCGTTGCTGTGGGCTGTGGATCAGTATGTGGATAGGGGAGGGAAATGAGAAAATTAATTTATTGCTTACATGAAACCAACAAATGATCTTAATTGTTACGGCAAACGCGCGTACACGCAATGACGTCCCACAAACACACACAAATCTATAATGCTTTGTTGCTTTAAATGCCAGTTAACTGCTGCTTTCAGTATCACATTAAGAATGTGGGTCACTTTTTCATAAAAAATATACACTAATCAATTTTTTTCAACATGTTTATCATCATTTTCAACCCAACCATACATGTAATTTGCCTTTTCATCAATTTCATCTAGGATAAAAATCTTTTACGAATGTAATTATTTACTATATAGACATGCATGTATAGTTGTAGAATAATTTCTAAATTGACAAACGTAGACTGTATTTTTTCATTTATTATGCATTAGAAAAATATTTGCAAATGTTTTGAATTCTCATTCTCTAAAGAGCCTTCAAATTCTCTCAACTTGGCTTCCATAGGTTTTTGTTTTGCGTTCAAGTCTCTATTATCTAATTTCATGTTATTAGCTTACCAATACAATTAAATCGCTAGTAAATCAATTCGTAAACGGAAATTTTGTTTTTAAGTGCACTTCACGGTTCAGCAATGGTTGGAACAAAAGTTTTCATACGAAATTTGTCCATCGCTGAAAGTTTCAATGTCTGAAGACTAAGATGTTGAACGGAATCTCAAATAATTCCCCTGGCAGAGTTTTCGTACGTCTCAAACTCATCTCTCGAGATTTAACTAATGATTGCAGAGGTAAATAACAGTTAACAGCAGATCGTAGTATAATATAAGCACTTTTCAAATATTTTATGCTCGAATCGAACATTTTAAGAATGTTGAAAATTCTCAAGAGTTTTTGAGAGATAAAATAGTGGGGACATGTGAATTCACTAAAATTAAAATTCAACTAATTGCCTGCACTTACGATACGGATATTGCTACGAAGAATTACCGACAAAAGAAAACGCATGCGATCTTGATTCCAGACTGATTACAATTATTTCTTTTTTTCAGTTCATCCAGTTACTTAGCCTAAGTCTTAAAACTAACGGGATAGAACAGTTGGAATGGAAGTATACAGGTATGTACAAAAAGAGGTGAGTAATTCACTTTGTTAACTTCTAGTAATAGATTAAGGTAAGTATATTTAACATTATTAGGGCAAGTACAATGAAAGGAAAACTTTATAATTCAAATATAAAATGCATTTCAGAAAAGTAATTAATTTTAATTTCATTTTAGGTTGAACATATACATAAGTCGCTTGACGCAACACCGGCCACCTTGACAGGATCAGGATCCTTCAACATCTATGGGCAGTAATGCGAGTTTGTGAATTGGGCGCTTAATGGTGCCCGCCTTGGTTGCCACGTCTGCCACTCGTACCTTGCCGTCTTGGCCTTCGACGGTTGCGACGACGCGTCCGATTACCTACTGCTGCGGCGGCACGTTGTCTTCGTGAACGAGGACGAGATCGTCTGGCCGCAGGTTGCGTTCGGGGTGCAGCCATTTGTTGCGTTCCTGAAGCCCCGTCATGTAGGTTTTGGACCACTGTCGCCAAAACAGTTGCTTGAGACAGAAAACAAGTTGCCATCTCTCGCAGCAACGAATTGGGTCCGTTGGCACTTGTGCTGGTGGCAGTGCTCGCAGAGGGCAACCGATTAGAAGATGCGCTGGAGTTAGTGCTTCTCCGTCATTGGGGTCCTGTCCCAATGGTGCTAGGGGACGAGAATTCAAGATGGCCTTCACTTCGGCCAGTGTTGAGAGCTCCTCCGTCGTGAGTAGAGCGTTGTCGAGTGCGCGAACGATCAGATGCTTGGCGGACTTCACGGCCGCCTCCCATAATCCGCCGAAGTGCGGCGCCCTGGGTGGTATAAGGCCGAAGCTGAATCCTTCTTCGGCTGCGAACATCATTAGTTCTGGGGCTTGAGATAGGAACGCCTCCTTCAGCTCGCGCAGCTTGCGGTCGGCGCCGACAAAGTTGGTTGCGTTGTCGCTGAATACTTTCTGTGKCATCCCTCGGCGACCAATGAACCTTTTAAGGCGAAAATAAAATAATTAGTAGACAAGTCCGATACTAGTTCTAAATGTACTGCTTTTGAWGTGAAGCAAACGAAAACTGCTATATACGTTTTTACGGGTGGTCGACCACGTATTTTTAACGTTGAAGATATGGGACCACAAAAGTCTACGCCACATGTCAGAAAGGGCCGTAACGCTCGAAGTCTTTCAACTGGCAAATTTCCCATTATTTGGGTTTCCACATTCGGCTTGTAATGAAAGCAGTGTGTACAGTTTCTTACGGATCTACTGCAGGCTTCCCTGGCATTAATTAGCCATTTGCGTTCTCGAAGAAGCGCAACCAACGCCTTTGCCCCAGCGTGATGATTTCGAAAGTGCAGGAACTGTAAATAGGTTATAACGAAGTGAATCACCTGGACAATTTTCAAGAAACTCAAGTTTAATTCATCTGCAGTCAGAGCTCTTCCCACAGTAGGCATTTTTGGTCGTCTGATCCATCATAATAAATATGCGACCACACGAAGCAACTTTAAATGAGAAGAGAATATTTCAATCAGCTCCATTATAGTGTTATCTTTCTGTTAACTGTGCACCGCCAAACCATATAGAATTGTTCAATTCGTCCACGTTACAACCCCGAGACACTTGATCCGCAGGATTTTGTTTTGTTGGCACATGTCGCCAATGTACATTGTCAGTCAATTCTTGKATTTCGGACACTCTATTTGCGACAAAGGTTTGTAATGAAGATGGATGCGTCTTTACCCAGTGCAATACAATTTCAGAGTCTGTCCAAAATGTGATTTTCTCGAATCGTCGACTCAACATTGGTGCAACTCGTGACCATAATTTGGCAAGAAGATGTGCTGCCGAGAGCTCGAGACGCGGAAGAGACTTAGTCTTCAGCGGAGCTACTCCAGACTTTGCAGTAAGCAGCATACATTTGACAYCACTAGCAGATTGGCTTCGTATGTATATGCAGCATCCGTACGCTCTTATTGAAGCGTCGGAGAAGCCATGGATTTGGCATGTAGCAGTCGACTCTAGGTTTACATACCGAGRAATGCTAATTGACGAGAGCTGCAGTAGGTTGGCTTTGAAATTCTGCCATCTAGTGTTGAGGCGCAATGGTATCGACTCATCCCAATCTAGTTTTTGTATCCAAAACTCTTGCAATAAACTTTTTGCTTTTGTAACTAATGGGGCTAATAATCCAAGAGGATCGAAAAGGCGAGCGGAGACTGACAATATGTTCCGTTTAGTGGCTCGCAGATCATTAAAGTTGGCATCCAAAACAAATCGAAACAAATCCTCTTTCGGCAACCAATGGATTCCTAGTGTTTTAGTAGAATTTTTGTCATTGAAACTTAACGACTTTTCAGTGCAATAACTGTCGAAAAATTTAAGGTGGTTCGAAAACCACTTCGTTAACGTGAATCCTGCCGGGCTTAATATTTTAACTTATAATAATATTTTACATCACTTCTTATAAGATCTAAAGACTCAAAATTTTCAGATCCTGTCATCGACATAAAAGTCTCTTTTAATTGCCAATGAACCGAGTGGGTATTTAGTGTATTAGCATCGCTGAGCATTTGTAAACACCGTGTTGCGAGAAATGGTGCAGGCGCAGTGCCGTAAGTGACGGTGTTAAGTCGAAAAATTTTAATATGCTCTGAGGGATGCTCTCTCCACACAATAAGCTGACAATTTCTATCTTCGTCGTGCATCATTATTTGCTAAAATGTACCGGCAATGTCTGCCGTTAAAGCGTACTTGTGTAAACGAAAACGAAGAAGAGTTGAGTACAATTCTTCTTGGATGGTTGGGCCTACCACCAAAATTTCATTCAATGAAATTTCAGATGAAGTACGACTCGAAGCGTCAAAAACAACACGTAATTTGGTTGTTGTGCTTTCGGTCTTAAAACGCATCCATGCGGAATGAAATAGTGTGGCTCACTCGGCATCTTATTGTTTGTTGGGCTCATGTGACCCAACGCTCTGTATTCATTCATAAAGTCTAGATACATTTTACGAAGTTCTGGATCTTTCAACGTTCTTCTCTCCAGGGCCTGAAACCGCCGAACTGCGGTTTCATAGGAGTGACCGAGTAACTTACGGTCAGCTTTAAATGGCATTCTGATCTGAAGCCGTCCTGAAGGCAATACTTGAGTTGTTTTCACGAAAAAATTTTCACACTCTTTTTGCTCTTGTGTGAATTTGATGCCAT